TGTTTTAATTAAAAATAACTAGGAATTTGCATCTCATCTTAACAGTTCATTAGTTTAGTAATGAGGGTTCATTCGATTCGATAGTTCCTACTGCACTCGATTGTTGAATGTTGAAGTGATTTATAAGTGAGAATTACAGTTATCAACTAATTATTACTCTGTAATCAGTCGTCATCATTTAACAAACACATTTTAGCAAGATGGCCGAGTTGCAAAAGCTTTTGACAAGAAATAAGACTGAGTTTTTCCGTTTTTGTGTTTTCATTGCTCCACAGGACCTCTGACCTATAAACGTCCTAGATACAGATAAGGTCAGAGGGATGCCAAATATACTTTATTTGCATCTACCTATATCGCTTTGAAACACAACCTTTATGCGCAGCGTCTACAATTGAAGTCATTTCGATATACTGGTAATTCGAACAGATATAATGAGATGTTAAACCGATCAGGATGAAAACTAAAGACAATCAAAAGCCTGGCCTGATGGTAGTATCCATGTAGATATGACGTATAGAGCTAGTTACTAGCGCTGTTTTCAAATTACTAAAACAATATATTTTTATTAGTCTATTTCTTCGATTTCCAGGTGTGAGTATCGTTCTCTATGGGTGGGTGTGCTGGTGGCAATACCCAGTGGTGCTGCAGTGGCGCTGGCCGTGCTGGGAGAGTATACATCTTCTCTCGTCGGAGTCGCCATCTCTGCTTCTTTACTACCACCAGCTGTTAATGCTGTGAGTATTCAACATTCTTTAATACGTAAATATAAATAACAATACTTATTGTAAGTTTTACGTAATATTACGGAATGAAACGGCAACTTATTTTTAAAGCTCTAAAATGGTTTACCTTTTATTAAAATAGTTTTTATAATTTTACCATCACAGTGTTAAAGAGAGAAAAGTTTATAAAAAATCAACTCTGACAAAAAATAAATGCCAATATACCTGCATATGTACTAAACGAAATAATAATGGCACCAAAATAGATTGCATTATTTGGGAGAAACTCTAAAAATAAATACTTCATTGACGTTCGTCATAATAAATAGAATAAAGGTGATGCTAAAATGGAGTCTTGCTTCATTTGGAATAACGTATTTTTAGGTGTTGACGTAGGTACCGAAATAACCAGCAAAAGTTTGCGTTAAACCTACTTTCAAAGTTCTGATAAAGACAAGGGAGGTGAAAGTATTGTTTTGTAGAATATCTAATTACTTACGTCATTCAGAAAATAAAGGACGGACGTCACACGGCTTTGTTTATTCGTCTTTCACGTTCCTAAGACTAAGCAGAAGTGCATTTAATAAATGTGACTCCCATTTGTATGTGTGATGTCATCAATCTATGAAAGGTCGGGCTTATTTAAAAATTCCATTCTCTGACTTAACATAATAGGCACTTTTTTTTTTAAGGGGTAAAATCATCGAATCACTGCTCCCGCCTGGGTTAGGCGGGAGGGAGTGTCAGACTCTTACTGACTAAAAACCACCCCGTTCCTTCTCCTGCACGTCGAGCCGGAGCCCCGGTAACCCGTTATTTACGGAGGATAAAGCTTGGTCTAATATATAAAAAAATACATTAATTTTAAAAGAGGTTTTCGGATCATTTATAGTGTGGTCTTCGTGTTCATAATCGAAATTCTTTGGAGTTTTACGACATCTTAGGGGTCTGGATCTGGAAGTTTCAAATTCAGTCTCGACGTCTAATTTTTCGGCAATTTTTTTGGCATCACTTACAATTTCTTCAAAATTTGTGTCTGTTCTAATTTTTATTAAAATTTTTTTTAAATCTGTTAAAGCGTCTAAAGCAACTTGCAAATTCATATCGACGGACTGCAGAATTTTACTCACAAAATTTACTTTTGTCAATATTATATGCCATACATTTAGTGAACAAATAAATGAAAATGTGCATATTTTTTCTGCTAGACATTTAGCGTCATACTTTGCCTTCGGATCATATGATAAATTATTTGTTATTTCATATAGGGCATCATAAATTTCTGGTAAATTTGTAAAAAGCGGTTTTATAGCATCTATTCTGCTTGACCATCTTGTTTCAGATAATGGTTTTAAGGTCAGATTTATGACATATTTTTTTAATAAATCCCATCTTTTAGCAGAGGATGAAAAATATTTATATAATTCTTGCACAATACAAAAAAATCCAGTCGTATGATGATTGAGGTTGGCAGAGTCGTTTACTATTAAATTTAAACTATGACTAGCACACGGTACATAGAAAGCGCGGGGATTTAAATCCAGCAATCTTTTCTGAAGACCATTATTCTTACCGCGCATATTTGATCCATTGTCGTAACCCTGGCCCCTTAAATTATTTATATTCAAATTAATGTTGTTTAATTTTTCAATAATAAATGACGTTAACCCAGCACCAGTTGTATCAACAATTGGACAGAAAGCTAGAAAATGTTCTCTTATTTCCAACTTTCTACTTTCTGTATTAAAATTGACAAATCTTATTATAATACTAATTTGTTCTACGTGTGAAACGTCAGGAGTACAATCCAGTATAATTGCAAAATATTTATTAATTTGATATAAATTTAAAATAAAATCTTGAATTTGTTTACCGAGAATGTGAATGATTTCATTTTGAATTTTATCTCCAAGATAAGTCGGCATATTTTTAAAATCCGTATCATTCATTACGCGTCGTATGTGTTCAGTCATTGAGAGATCAAATTTTCCTAACATTTCAATACATTTTAAAAAATTACCATTGTTCCTATCATATAATTTTTGGCTTTGGCCACGAAAAGCCATATTTTGTGTACTTAAAAATTGGACTACATATATTATTCTTTTTATTACATCGTACCAGCGCTGCTTTTCAACCTCTAAAAGCTTTTGTTGAATACTATCAATAGTGTTTTTATTTTTAAGAGCATGACACAAATCTGTCCATTTTTTATAATTATTGAAATGAGCAGAACTTTTCTCATGTCTGCTGCAATACAAAGCTAGATGTTGCCAATCACTAATTCCCTCGCAGAATTTATTTTTATATTTTGATTCAAATAGCTTGCAACAGAAGCAGTAAACGGCATTTTTGGACACCGAATACAGCAGCCACTCTCTGTGATACTTTTCACCGTTTCCTAAATGCCTTTCATAATAATACTCAGAAAATTTTCGTCCCGAAGAGTCACGCGGAAAATTGTACTGTTTTATTTGTTTAATCGGATTTTCTATTAAATACTCGATTAAAGTAGCATTTAAAACTTCTGGCCAGGCTCCAGGGTCATCTTTGGAAAAAGTTGGGATTGGTGACGATAATTGTCTTGACGGTGTAGATAGTGTATCAGGTACAGACGTAAGTTCGGCGGCATCATCTTAAATTAAAAACAGATAAACAAATACGTTTAATATCGTTCACATGAGTACCTATCTATCTCCTTAACTTAATAAACTGATTTTATCTATTTATGAATAATTATTTACATTTATACAAATTAGAGTGTCTGTTTGCAATATTAAAATAACCGCTTTTTGTAAATGTTTATGGTTGGACGCATTTTATTAAAAATACATAAAATACGGTACCTACATAAAACAAAATAACCTTTTTGTAGGTAGGTATGTGTGTTCCTTACGTCTAATATCTAAAACGGCCGGAAAAATAAGTTAATTTATCTATTCAAAATTGAATAACAAATATTTTTTTTTAATATCGCAAACAGAATTTATATTTATTTGTATAGAAAATTTCATAAAAATTACGTACCACCACAGGAAGCGTTTTTTGAATCAGATTTAATAACACTTTCATCGATAACATGACTGGTTTCTGTCTCTAATGATTGTGTCGAAGTGGATGGTAGGGCCGTAAAATATTTACTGATTTTAGTTGCATTTTTATTACGTTCTTCTTCTTGTTTTCTTTTCCTTATTAGATTCTGGTAACCAGATAACTTTTTTTTCTTATCATTATTACTGTCACTCATCGTGAAAACACTTTAAAACAATCAGTAACACACCAACTTTATATTATAAAAAATCAATGCGCACCTTACACACACTTTCAATCAAATGATTGTTCAATTGTTTTGTTTTGGTTTGACACTCTCGTTCGTCGGGGAATCCCTGTGATCCTACCCCGCTTCCCTCGCACGCATGGCGACGGGTTGCGTTCATAAACTCGCTCATACCTACTCAAACTCGGCGACTCTATGGTTCAAAAGAACTGCCGCCGTTTTAACGTTGAGCTCGTAACTCATAAGTAATATAAGTAAACTTTAAACCCTAAGCGTAAAATGAAACCATAAACGTGAACAATAATAAACATAATCGAGAGACTTTAATAAGCGTAATATTAGTTTTATTGTATACAAGGCCTATGTTGCGCCTATTGTACCTACTTAATTATTGATACTTTACTACAAAAACACAATAATATAGGTAACAAAAATAATTTTTTCATTCATTCATTCAGGCGCCGCGCCGCGCCTGGCGGCGCGGCGCGGCGCCCCTATCGTCTTGGCGCCTGTGTGCGCCGCACACTTCGCACACAGGGGCGGCGCGGCCCTGCGTATAGCATTCATAGTTTAGAAGTCGATAAAAATAAATTAAAATAAATCTCTGTAGATATTTTTAGATCACAAAAATCATAGTGAAAGGTATCACTAAAACAAAACAATATACATAATTTAGAAATATACAACAAGGTTGTATACAAATGACCACTTGTTTGGATCTGCAATTTAATTTATAATGCAAAATCCATTATCTTCTCGCACTAAGATATTGCTTGGCACTGAACTTGTATTCAAATCAGAATAGAATGTCGTTAAAAACGCTGAGATTTACAAGGACATCGATGTTAGATATAGATATATTACCTGCATAATTATAGTGAAACATTTTAGGCACGATTTTACAGCACGTGACTAATATTTAAAATCAACCAATAAAAGTTGAATTAAATCACGTTTTATCACTAGAGAAGTACAACACGTAGTGACTCAAATTTTCTCACCTTATTCCCAGAGAAGCCCACGAACTCTAACACGCTTATTATTTTTGGTGGCAGCAAAGAGATCATCACGTTAAACGTAGCGACTCCCAGCCGCACACCACTTTGGAACTGGATCTTCGATTCCTCCGTCTCCCATTGCTTCTTTTCCAATATCTTAGAGCATTCCCTGTAGCGCACGAAATGCGTATATAAGTTACGATCGTCTAATATATGCGAGCTTTTGAATCTAAGAAAATTACCGATAGCTGTTGTAACAATTTTTGATCTTGATGGTTCCTTTGATAAATCCTGTAAGATCTTCTCCTTCCATTATAGTCATGGCTGCCTGGAGCATTAATGTTTCTGCGTAACATAGTTCAGCGTGAGCTTCCATGTCGGTGTATGTTGCGTAATTAGGCTGCAAAAGAACGCGGTTTACATTCTATAATCAATCATGCTTCCTTTATAGCAGGTTATTGACATAAACGTCTTTTTCTTTACATAGAACATCTATTATAATTAGTACACTTCAATCAATGGTTATTAGTTTATTACATCCATGTTTACGTTCCTAGTACTTAGATATATTAAACTAAACAAGTTACTTAGACGAACACATTATAACATCAACTATTCAATTCAATCACTAATAATTTTTGTAACATTACGTAAAAATCCCTAATCTCATTAGTAAGTATTACAGTTAATTGTATTATGAGGTGAGGCATGGACCAGGGCATACAGGTTAAGGTTTCGACATACAATTAGTATGAATAAAATAAATGGGAAAATCGGTAGAACAACGAATTTGGTAAGTATACGAAATGTCTATAACGGTGTAAGTCTCGTTGTTATTAGAACATGGTCGTTGTGATTTATATTTTTATAGAACCATAGGTATAAGATTAACAGATCGACTGCTGTTATATTTATAGCCAAGTTCATTGGAAAGAAATTGACTTTATTAAAGGACAAGTAATGCATTTAACTTATAGTACCTCTACGACATCATATGAAGGGGGGTGTAGTAATAATAATAATACACCTAAACCTACCTTTTTAATTATGGTGCCGATGCTTTCTACAAAGGTGTAGTTCTTCCTTTGCTCGTGGCAGATGGCAATCGCTATTTTGAGTGCGGCTAAGGCGTTGTTGATCTGTGTTGAGTCGAATGTCAGCATAGCAGGAATAAACTCGAATATAGCGGCACCAAGGCTGTGGTACACAGAGGCGCGTTGCCTGAACACAAACAAACACTGGTATTTTCACTTGTACAAGTAATCTGTATAGGAAAGGGTTAAATACTTGTGTCTTGTGAAATTCGTAAATGGGTACGAATACGGCAGACCGCCCGATTAGATTCAGCAAAAACCTAATAGTGATTATCGCGAAAAAATAATTAAGTATGTATGACAATTACTTTATGATTACTTTCACAGGTTGATACTATTCGTAAGTTGATTAATGAAATCCAGTGTAACTTGCCTCACCAAGTACCTTAGTTAGTACCCTCCAGCTATCAACGGAGGAGCATGCGTAAAATTATTACAGATGTAGCGATGTAAGTACCTACACCAGACTCGTGCCTTTTGGTGTTCTATTAGGTCCGTTTCCCTTAATTGAAGGCAGAAGCTATTACATACATGTATGTATGTGTGTGTCTTTCACTCACCATGGCTTCATAATGGTCATGGCACCAGTCAAGTCGTTATTAAAGAATTTACGTATCGCCACCTCACAGTCATTGAAAGCTGTGTGCAAGTCAGGGGTAGTGCTGCAACGATAATAAGTCGTTTAAAATCGATTTTTTTATTGACTGTAGCATTTACAGCCAGTAAACTATTATACGTACTCTTCTGGTAATTCGTCTGTTGCGTCTTCGAATTCATCCTGAAACAGTTAAAAAAGTATTAAAATATTTCTACAAAAAATAAAAATAAATGATATTTATATTTTAATGTCATCACACAGCACTACAGCAGAGAGCGTCTAAACAATGCAGATGGTCACTCGACCATGAGGTTTCAATTTAGTGTAATACTTCGTGATATGTTATATCTACTGCATATTTTTTACAGTTACAAATTATAAAAAAAAAAATGAATAGGGTAACACCAACTTCAAAATGTTCATCAGCAAGGGGCGGCGAACTGTCCCCGTGGACTGCATCGTGTAGCATAGGCGATGCCAGCGGTGGCGGAGACTCTTGTCGCAGAGTCATCTCCAGAAGCTAAGAAAAAGTATTTGTACAGTAAATAAAGTAAAGTAATTGGACATTTTGTAGTTTTTGATGTACCTAATTTTTACTATTTCTATTTTGCAACCTTCTAAGCGCACCACACGCGCTAAAAACTGTTATTTGACTGCTATTTTTCTAAACGCGAACGCCGCAAGTAAGAGAATGTAAAATGGAAATGAACACATAAAAATCTACAAAATCGCCAATTTTTAACGCTCCCGGATACTTTCCAGCCAGCCCCCGTATTTCCGCCCAAACGATCGAACTGAATACGCAATTAAATAAAAAATACCTCACCATATTCACACAAATTCAAAAAACTAGTTTATCACTACTTTCTGTTTTCCAAGTACACTATTAGTTATTTCGCATTAATTGTTCCCGGGTTCCCGGCTCAAACATGTACTTATAAGGCAGAGACTGAGCAAATAAGTACTTAATTTTAGTAAACAAATGCGAAAACATTAATACGTCCAAGTGTTGCCCACGAATATGTTTATACATATATGTGTATTTCATTCAAACTTCTAGTGAAAGTTGTCAGCAACGGGTGTCTACCTCACTTTCACTCTTTACCGTCTCAGTAACCAAGGCCTGTTATGAGTAATATGGTTGAGATGGGAGGTTATTTTATAATACAAAACCATCATTAGCGCCGAAGCGACGCGACGGTTCTGTACTAAATTAATACTTGTCAATACCTACAAATTTAGCCCAGTCAAGATAGACAAAACATTATTGTTTTGTGTTACAGTTATCCTTAAGTATCAGTTATCCTATTAAGTCCTACAGCGCTGGAATTTAGAGACCTTTGCTTGGTAGTTGGTACATTAATATTAATACACACAACATGCGAAAGATTTTATATTTTCCATTGTTCTCGAAATATATTTAAAGTTGACGAAGTGAATTTGTACGTGATAATTATATTATACAAATTGTGTAGTGATTTAGGCTTACATTGCATGTGCGACCCGCCTTTTTAAGGTTTTGTTTATCGATATATTTTATCGTAAGACTCGTGGGTAAAGTAGCATTCGTGTGCATATCACGTGTGTTGTTAAAGTTTGATATTAGCGATATCCTAGGAACAGTGAATCTTAAGAAAATATATATAGAACAATTGTTTACATTTTTTTAGTGTAGGCTACATCACTACATAGTTTATTTAAAATAAAGTCGGTTTCCACTATCTGACCATAAGTAAGCATACATCTTTAAAAGTTATGTGTATAATACAACTTCTGCGCATTATAAGAATTGAAGTGCAAGTTGTTTTTATGGCCATTTAAACACTTCATTTTTATTAGAAAAACTTAACGTTTACTAATACGCATATAGGGTTATATGCCTGTTTCATAAGTAGGTATCCTCAAATTGAAGGGCCTGCTTTTTTTTATGGGGGGAAAATCATCAATTGACTGCTCCCGCCTGGGTGAGGCAGGAGGCAGTGTCAGACTCTTACTGACTAAAAACCACCCCGTTCCTTCTCCTGCACGTCGAGCCGGAGCCCCGGTAACCCGTTAGGTTCTTTGCGACTAAGGGCCTGCACTAAGAGATTATTAAATCGAAAGCTATATGCAAGCTTCATTTAATTTTTCATTCCATTGTCTCTGCCTACTCTAATGGATATATCATAAAAAAAAGAAAAAAGAAAATAACGAATCGGAGAGTATAGCCATATGTCTCGTTATCAACAAAACTAAACTAATGATAGTCGACAGAGCGGGCAAGCTTTCTAAGAAACATTCCAAATATTTACAGAAGTGGTAGAACAATTCCACTACTTGGGGTCTCAGATCTCTCATCTGCAATGGCAGAAACTGCACCCCAGAATAAAACACATGATAGTCATTGATATGGACGCGATGTCTTAGCGGGGGATTATGTGTAAAAATTGAGGCAACACAAATAACACCAAGATACGCCTTTTTAGATAGCTTATTTTACCAGTACTTTTATATGGGGTAGAAACATAGAACCTTTCGAGTGAGAGACATAGAATAAATGCGTTTTAGATGTGCTGGCGAAGATTGCTGTCATACCATAGACAGCCAGGCGAACCAATGCCCTCAATATTGTCGCATATTAGCTCTCTAATCTAACTTTATGCCTCTGGATCATGAGCAATTTTGTACACATTATAATAGCGAGATGCTGAGAAAACAAGTTTAAAAAACTGAATGTTGTGTTAGAAATGAGGTTTTAGAGAAGTTCTATGCCACAAAACAAATGGCTGCAGACCGAAGCCAATGGAGACATTTGCTCTGATCTAGAGTGATATCAGGATGCTCAAGATCCTCAGTCATGAAGAAACGATCAGAGAGATGTATACGTACATACATATATCGTAGAAAATACAGTGAGCTGTACACTTCCTAGACATTTATTTGTAGCTGATGATGGATATCATTGTATCGAGTTCCAGAGAAAGGGCATTAAGACATTTCTGTAAAAGTTATATTTGTTTTTGAAATGCTTTTAGATGTAAAATTTATCAACCAACTTTACCACATACCTTTTGGTGGGTCCTACCAACTTCATTGAAATCGACGAATGCAACAGGTATTAATGGATATTTTGTGATTGTTTTACTTAAAAAACTAACAATGAAATTAGTATTTATTTGCTATAAAGTCTATCCATGAAATTATTGTTTTTGGGTCAGGTACATTATAATCTGTAGATTAATAAATAATTATGTGTACATAATGACATCTTAAGAAATTAATTATATAATATATATTTATATAGATAATTGTTGACTGTCAGATAACTAAGATCCCCACTAGATAAAATTGTTGCATGATGAGTTGTGTTAACTCTTGGTCCTAATTGACATATATCTCACAACCGTAACTGATGCCGCATGACATAAACTCATTTTTACCGTGTATCTTCTTAGCATTCATGATAATTAAACTGTCAAACACCGAGCGGTCACCGGTGACCGCAACCTATTGTTCTTAAAATGTGTCTATAATTACGGTACTCAAAGAGGTAATATTGATGTGTAAAAGTACTGATTTGTAGCCTATTTACAAAAATAGATTCATCATTTCATTTCAACCCTTACTGTGAGTTGTTATTGCAGACATCATGCTAACTTAGAATATTACCTATAGTTTCTGTATTTTTATGAATTGTTTTTTGATCACAACCACATAGTAAGGTAGGTACTAAAAAAACTCAATGAATAATTTTAAGGTATTCCTAATTTATATAACTACATAAATATTTACAACTTAAAATTAACTACAACTAAACTATTAAATAAAAAAGAAAGTAAAAGAAGTCTGTTTATTTATGATATTTAAATAAACAGACTTCCAATTAAAAAAAAAAAAAAAAGGTATTCCTTCAATTCTAACATCTTTAAAATTATTTACTCTGAAATAATAACTGTTGTATAGGAGAACAATATCATATAAGTGGGTGATGTCTAGTATTGCCTAGTGTTCAAGACTTAGGGAGCTAGCAAGTCAAAATCAAAAGACATCTTTTATGGTAAATCTTTATTACAAGGTATAAAATCTAAGATATAAAATCCTAGATGGATGTTTCACTTAGTGATGGAACAATGTGGATGAATATTCGAACTACCTAAATTGCATATATTCAGGCAAATTATTTTATATTTCGCAGTAGGGCAAGATAAATAGGAACAGCAATTTGTCAGAGGGTAACAGTAAAATATTTTTAGCACGACAGTAAAATAAGATTACGTATATTTCGCGATGCATTAGTAAAGCAATGAAATGATTTACAAAAATATTTACTGTTAGTTAATAGAGTGATGATTATAATATTGATTACAGAGAAATCAGTATAAATATCACAAGCTTTCACTCAATGTTCAAACAAATCAATAATATTTTCTTCTAATACCTAATATTTCTTCATATTTGATACTTACATGGTTGTAATTTATCGAAACAGCAGCAACACGATACACAATATTAATTATGCACTGATGCGACAGTTGAATGCTTACGAGATCACAAAATTATGTGTCGTTTAAAAATTAAAAATATTTATTTGTTGAAAGATAACGACAACACTTCTATAGCACAGACGGTTCATCACTGTATTAATAAAAATATTTCTGGCGGGCGGATTCGCTTTCACGATATTATCATTTGACAATTTGTCAATAATGTCATTTCGACAATGTCATCCGTAGCCAAGTCCCATAGGGCCATAGACTAGTAAGGCCGCCCCGGTGACCATTTTGCCCCAATGCTAATGCTTCAACGTTTTATTAACATTTGATACAAGATTTGATATGCGAAAATCATTAATGACTCCTTCTACTCTGTCCTGGATGAGACGGGCTGAGGCGTTTGTGAGGATGTATGATTTTTTTAAGGTGGGGAAATGGTTCTCCCGCCTGGGTGAGGCGGGAGGTATTGTTAGACTCTTTCTGACTAAGATCCACCCCGTTCCTACTCCTGCACTTTGAACCGGAGCCCCAGTAATCCGTTCCGCGGCTCCATATCGGTATCAGCCCTATTGGGCCTCATCCGTGAGGTTGTATGGAAAGGATAGAAGCATGATTGTTGTTAAGCTTTCACGAAATACTACTGGGGGGATTTGGATGAAAGGTACAGAGATAGATTCAACGAATGGATAGATTCAATGGTTTGGAATAAAACATGGGGTATTTTGATCCTGAAGATACGGGCAAAGCTGCTGGTAGAAGCTAGTATAATATAGATAATAATGCTTTCTAAAACAGTGACGATAAATTCTTTATTCTATATGGACTGTCTTCATGAGATGTCCATGCCCAATACTTCCACAGATGTATAAGAATAAGTTATACGTCTGTGATTATTTCTTTTAGTTTTGTTGCTACTGAAATGACCATAACACATAATATAACATCACGCCTTTTTAACCCCGAAGGGGTAGGCATAGGTGCACATTCTGCCACTGTACAATGTAACACCCACTTTTCACTACCTATTAATGTTATAAGTCCCATGTTATAGGGGGTGACCCTATTGCCATATACTGGGCACATTTCCAGACTCCGTGCTACTATTGAGATTTAAAAACCCAGTAATACTTTGCCCGACCCGGGAATCGAACCCGAGACCCCTTGCCCGGCAGTCACACTTGCCACCACTCTGCCAACGAGGCAGTCGCTGTCTGCTACTGAAATGTTGTTTCAGTAAAGTATTCATATTGGTATTAGATAAGACTACTTATTAAACTATAATATAGATTTCTTTTCCTCGCACGATACTGCATGATATTTCCTCACCTCATTAGGGTCCACTCGAACCACAAATATAATAATCACCAATATCAGTGACTCGAACACTCTTGCACATAGGTAATAGAGTATTTGTATTCTGTGGTCAGAAGTCAGACATTAGCTTACTTTTCTATTTTCTCTTTGGACTAGTAAATTCGCAATCGCTCGATGCCTTTATGTTTGTAGTTCTTTGAAAATGGCTTCCTGTAATAATCATAGAACAGAAATAAAACAAGAAGAATTGTGTAGAACATGTTTGTCTAAAGATAATCCATTATTGTCGATATTTGATGAACTTACTGGAACGACTACAACTTTAGATTACATAGTTACAACAACTACTGGACTTAAGGTAAATTTTACTCATAAAACGGTTACTGCAAATGCAAATTGCAGATAAATCGATATTTTAAAAATGCCCGTGCAAGTTATATTCACATCGTATCGCTACTTTCATACCCCCAGAGGAAGGTATTGGTAAAGGTTCTGTAATGATAAACAAACTAATGTAGGTCTTCTATTTACTTTTGAATGGACATGGCAATTCATGTTTTTTCTCCTTTAGATACTGATAGTAGGGGAGTACACTGCAGAACTTGGCAAAAAGAGTGATGCAGTGACAGCTGGAATATTGATTTGGACTAAATCACCCACTTTGGACCATATCCTATGACTAAACAATCAGCCAAACATAGTACAAAAGAGAAGCTTTTGAAACTTGGTAAAGATAGCAAATACCGGTTGAGTAGTAGTGTACTGGGTTGCCACAGATCCAATACTAGCGACCTCAATTATTCATTCACAAACTCTATTTTGCCAAGCTGTAATCGGGGCACCATCTATCTACTTACCTTTTTCTAGTAACATGGTTAATGTTTTACTCATAGGTACGTAAATGTAACCTACTAACGGTTATGGACTTATCACATCATGTTTTCTCAACTATGGGGAGATGTGAATGCGTATTGACTAGTATTACAATTAGTATTTAGCCTGGCCACATGAATACATTTACAATAATCCAAAGTTGCTGTAATGAGCCGATTTCATGTGCTAGCGTAAATTGAATATTACATGAACAGAATGCTTGTTATAATGCCACTGCTGATGAATTATTACAAACTTAATTATTAATTCTTATTCATTAATTATTGATCAATCCTCAATCATTCACCGTTGATCACTCTCCGTTACACCTTATTTCCGATGTTTAGAGACTACTTTTGTATTAACAAATTTTGGCTATTTATCATTTAAATAGTGAGTTGAACACATTTTTGTACACCTAAAAAATTGTTGTTGCATTTGCAAGCGAATAATAACTTATAAATGTATCATCTTCTTGAGATTGGCTTGCGCTAGTTCCTAATGCCTATGTCAAATGATACATGAATGGATTTGAAATTCTATGGAGTTGTAATCTATGTTATACATAATTGCAATGAACATATTAAATGCACCGAACAGATTAATGGAAACATAAAAACTGATATTGTTTGTGCCAAAGAAATATGTTTTTGTAATGTAATATAATTAGTACAATGTAACCTCAGTCTTGGCGAGTTACTTTTTATGTTAATAGTTCATTTATTTTTAACAACTAGATAAGCAGAAATGATGGCTTACCTTCAACAATATGCTGTCAGTGCAAAGAAAAGGCTACAATTGCATTTGAATTTAAGAAAAAGTCTGAGGAGGCTAATCTGTCTCTCAGAGGATTTATTAAGAAAGAAAAGAAAGAAACCTACACAGTAACCAAAAGAATAAACCATGTAAGTATGTTTTGTTAAAATTTTTTACTTGACCAACACAATTTGAGATGCAAGATTAGATTCATTGATATTTCTAGTTACCATTCCTAATTTGCAACTGGGGAAGTTATGACCAAAGTAACAAGTTAAAATAAGTTATGTTTATCCTCCAGCAGCTAGCTGGCTCAGCCCATGGGGCCATTATTTATATAAATACTTTTTGTAGTTAACTCTATGTTTTACTTACAGAATGATATGTCAGGGGTGAAAACCGAAGAATTACATGAGGATGATGACTTTGATGACAATAATTACAACACTCTTGATAGTGGTCCAGATTTATGTGAGCTAGGTGCGGTTTTGTTGTAGACTAACTAATTAATTGTTTAAGTTATACTGGCTGACTGGAAATTGGACATATTCTCATAAAGATAAGTTAGAAAAAAATTTATGCCGTAAGTTAACAATTTCATATAATGTGTCTTGTTTTTATTGTACCATATAGGAGCATAATATGACATTTATACAAGAGAACCATAATTCCGAACATCTCGGAAACCATTAACCTTCGGTTACACATATTTGTGGTCATATCGGTTGCTTTTAAGTTATTCTACCTTATCAAGATGGGAATTTGTCGAGTTTGCAGTCATTCTGTATAATAGTAATAATTTTAAATAAATAAAAGTAAAATATTTTTCTAAGTTGCTTCTTTATCTTTCTTCAGATACTGTTAAAACAGAAATTGAAGTTCCTGATTTAAAATTACACTTCATTTGCAAAAGTTGTCTGGCTGATTTCGACACACCTGACAAATTAAAAGAACATGAAAAGATCTGTATTAAAGGTGAATATTTTCTTTTGTATATTTTAGCAATTTAAGTTACTACATTAAAAATCTGTATACTAAAACAAATTACTGTAATTATCTACCATCATTGTGGGTCATACTTATTTTTGATGAGTTTACAAAATGTCGAACTTATTAAAATTAGTTATTTTTAACTAATATTCTGTTATTTTAGTGGAGTGTGATGAGACTAATCGGACTTACTGTCCTCTCTGCGGTACATGTTATAATGGTGCTGGGAACTTAACTAAACACATGTGGGAAAGTCATGCTGATCTGATGGGACCAAAAAAGAGAGGCAGACCAAAGAAGGTATTAACAAGTGTAAGTTCCTTCTAGCTTCTAGTGAAACCGAGTTTACCCATAATTTTGGAATTCTTTATTGCAAAATAGTCTTTCACTGCACAATCAGTCTGTACAAGTTATATGATTTTGTAAGCATACAAAGATTCACTTAGAATACCTGCTTAAATTATGCCGTCGTATAAGGTGTCGATATTTTTTATTGTTGCAACATACATACCACATTCATATTTTAATAACTAGCATGAGTAGCATGGTTATGGTGTCTTATATTGGTTATGTTACCAGTAGGTAGATTTTTTGGTAAAGGATATCTATCTCTTACAAATACAGACAAAAAAATAAAGATTTGTAGCAACAAAACTCAAAAGACTGGCACAGGATGTATTTTTTCGTGGATAACACATTGTCATAATTTAACTCGTCGAGTACCGGTTTTGTAGACACAATTATAGAACTATAGGTTGCGGTCACCGGTGACTGCTTGGTGTTTGACAGTTTAAAAACCATTTGACTTGGAATTTTTTTAATATTTTTCTGGTGACTGTTGGAACTTTGCCGATCACCTGATGACATTTGGTCGTCGACTTCAGAGACACCTGTATATAATTTTTTAGACTGTCTAAAATTAAAATTCTGGTTTGGAAACCAAAAAAACTGATCCAGGTCCTGATCAACTTATGAAGGCAGTGTACGTCATACATCACCTGAACGTTTTAATAATTATTTAGACTGCCACTAACATAGTATATATAACCCTCTTACAATAAATAATCAATGTAGTTTTATTGTTATTGTATTTCAGACTATTCTTAATAAATTATCTGAAAACGGATTTTGTATAACATCTATGCCTGCGAAAAAAATAGAATGTGCATTTTGTAAAGAGCATTTTGAAACCAAAGAAGAATTAGGATCTCACGTAATATCTCATAAAGGTTAGTAAGT